GGGTGTGTGCACGGGTAGTGATGTGGACCCCACCTGGGAGGCACAGAGCATCTTGGGGGAAGCAGGGCTGGCCCTTCCCTCTGTGACACCCAGCTTTCCCACAGGCCCTACATGTCTGTGGGCTCCCTGCGTGACCAGGTCATCTACCCGGACTCAGTGGAGGACATGCGAAGGAAGGGCTACTCAGAGCAGGATCTGGAGGCCATCCTGGACATCGTGCACCTGCACCACATCTTGCAGCGGGAGGGAGGTAGGAGGCCCGGGCCCAGCAGCCACCCTTCGTCCCGCCCTGGCCTCTCCCTTGGCCTCCAGGGGGTGAAGATTATCTCCACATCCTGGAGTCTAAAGTGCCAGGTGCCACAGGGGTGGGGCAGAGGGTGCTACCTCGGAGGCCCGCCTACCAGGGAGGACCAGCACCACACAGATGGCCCCAGGTGGCAAGGGTGCCCTAGAGAAGGGGGCACCTCAGGGGCGTGCACCTCATTGGGGAACCTAGAACACCCTCTCCCAGAGAAAGGAGGTCTGAGCTGAGACCTGCAGAATGCTGAGTGCTTACCCCGTCCAGGAGCCAGGGACAGCAGGGCGGAGTGTGGCCCGCAGGCTTGGTGACAGGAGAAGCTGGCTCACAGAGCGCCCTCTGGACCAGGCAGGAACTTGGGCTTTCCCTGAGCGGGATCAGATGCTCTTGGAAGGACCATGGGGCGGTGGGCAGGGGCAGCATAGGAGAGGCAGGCACACATGTGCGGGGACAGGTGCTGTCAGGTTTGTGCAGAGGTTTGGAAGGGGCTGGGGTGAGCAAAGTCGGGTAGATTCTGAGACAACCTCTTGGGAGAGGAGGCCAGGCTGAGCTGTTGTCTTGACCTGGGCTTATCAAGGAGCGCTGTATGTCCACAGTGTCCATCACGCCTAGAGTGGAGGAGGAGAGCGGGTGCAGCTGCAGGGACAGCGGGCAGACTGTCCAGTTCTGTCTTTGAATTCTGAGCCTCTGGGTTCTGTCTCCAGCCCCCACTGCTGGGTGAGAGATGGCCTTGAGCAAGGACCTCGCCTCCTGGGGCTCCCTTCATGGTTCAAGGACCTGGGCACCAAGCCCCTGGCCTGGCCCTGCCTCTTGCTCCTGCTGCCTTCTGCCTGGGCGCCTGTGGTCCCTCCCACCTCTGTGGCAGCCCTGAGTCCCCAGGGCCTGCGGCCGGCCAGCATGAGCCATTAGGATGGAGTTCAGCTGCGAGGAACAGAACTGGCCTCCCCACAATCATGGCTAAGATCATTCGTGAGTGTATCCTACTGAGCCGTCAGGTCCTCAGAGGGGCAGGCCATGGTTGCTGGGGCTGGCCCTGCTCTGCGAAGGCCCCAGGGCTCTAGGCTTTTCTACTAAGTCACTCTGCTGTGTGTAGCCTCCATTCGCAAAGTCACCTCATGATCCAGGAGGGCTGCTGCAGCCCTCGCATCATGTCACAGGGTATAGGATGGAGGAAGTGGAAGGCAAGCGGCAAAAGGTAGCCACCCAGAACAGCGATCGTGCTTCCCAGGCGGCCTTGTGGTGAGGTATGACCATGAGACAAAGTTGTGGCCAATGATATGGTGGCTTCCAGAAGCGCGATCTCTGTTCTGGGTGGCCACATGCCCTGTCATTACTTCCAGCCCTGGGCCACAGGGGAAGGCAGCATGGGGGAGAAGACAAGAGGGGTCAGTTCTGCCTCAGCGCCCCAACCCGATGTAGCGGCTGGCTCACCTGCTTACTCGAGCAGCCCACCCGAGCCTTGCCAAGGTACTGGCACAGGGCAGTGATGGCGAGCCTCCTATGGGTGGCGAGCCCCCGGCCTAGGGAGAACACACTGGCCACTCCAGGGCTCTGTGCCAAGAAACTGAGTGAGCGCCCTGGCGCTGCCATAAACTGCATGGGTGTAGATTCAGGGCCCAGCAGGGTGGGTTCCTTCCGGGGCCATCAGGAAGGATGTGTTCCAGGCCTCTGGCCTTGGCGCACAGATGGCCAGCCTCGCCGTCTGTATCTTCACATCTTGCTCCCTCTGTGCACATCCTCTGCCCGCACACCCCTTTGTATGAGGACACAGTCATACTGAATTAGGGTCCACTCTGGTGACCTCATCTTAGCGTGATCACCTCTGTTAAGGCCCTATCTCCAAATAAGGTCACACTGAAGTGCTGCAGCTGGGACTCCACCATATCTGCTCTAGGGGAACACACGATTCCATTCCCCCTCCTCTGTGATGAATGCCTGGCAGACAGACAAGGACACAGAGGCACGGGGGCCCTGTCTTTTCAGCCAGCTCACTCCCGCAGCTGCCCCAGCTCCCCCACTGGCCCCCAGGGCTCAGTGCTGGCTGAACTGAGCCAAGCCCCTTGCCCCCTGCCCAGGTTGGGAGGCCATGTGTGACTGGAAGGATGTCCTGTCGGGCGGGGAGAAGCAGAGAATCGGCATGGCCCGCATGTTCTACCACAGGTGAGCACTCCAGGCTGGCAGGCTCCCTGGGGTCCCCTGGGAGGGGAAGCAGCAGGCATGGAGAGGCCTGGGCTCCATGGAGCCCTAGCTGGGATAGGGTGCCAGGCGCTGGAGGGTTCACAGAGTCTCCTCTCGGCCGCGACGCCAGGCCCAAGTACGCCCTCCTGGATGAATGCACCAGCGCTGTGAGCATCGACGTGGAAGGCAAGATCTTCCAGGCGGCCAAAGACGCGGGCATCGCTCTGCTCTCCATCACCCACCGTCCCTCCCTGTGGTAGGCGCCCTGTCTCCCTGCCTGGGGTTGGGTGGGAGTGGCAGCCTGAAGAGAGGAAGTGGTCTGGTGGGCCCAGCAGCGGCACACGGCTTCCATTGGCAGCCCTGGTGTCATTCCCCTGACCCTGTCCCTGTCCTGGCCAGGAAATACCACACACACTTGCTACAGTTCGATGGGGAGGGCGGCTGGAAGTTCGAGAAGCTGGACTCGGCCGCCCGCCTGAGCCTGACCGAGGAGAAGCAGCGACTGGAGCAGCAGCTGGCGGGCATTCCCAAGATGCAGCGGCGCCTCCAGGAGCTCTGCCAGATCCTGGGCGAGGCTGTGGCCCCAGCAGAGGCACCAGCACCAAGTCCACAAGGCCCTGGCGGCCTCCAGGGCGCCTCCACCTGACAAGTCCCTCCCAGGCCCCTGCCCCGCTCCCAAGCTCGGATCACATGAAGGAGACAATAGCAACTACCCATGCCCACCCTGTCCTGCATGCCTGGCCCTCCTCCTAGAAGACCCTTCCCGCCCTTGGGAAAGTAGCCATGGAGGGTGGCACCCTGCATCCCTCCCCCCATCCCCCATCCCTCCCGCTCCCTGGGGAGCTGCTCCACAGTGACTGGGCCCTGTCCAGGGCAGTGAGTCGTTGACTTTGCCCCACGGAGGGAGCTGGGGCACAGGGGGCCCCAGTGCCAGCCACACAGCAGCGCAGCCAAGCACCAGGGACCCCTCAGATCACAGCCCCTGGCACTGCAGGTGGCCTCCCTCCAAAGACTGGAGTCCCCACAATTCCCTTCCCAGTCTCTCAAAGACCCCACGCTCCATCCCCCGAGGGTGGTCAGCCAAGGCTTCCGTCCCACGAGATGCCATAAAAGCCCCCCAGTGGAACCCATGGTCAGACAGAGCCCCTCACCTGCATCCTCTCCCCCCAGGAGCCCCAAAGAGCCTGAGGGAGAGGGACGCACAGCGCTGCCTTCTGAATGAGAACGTAGCCCAGCCCTCGGCCCCTTGCCGCCTCTTTCTACTGCCTAATTTATTGGATTCCCTATTCATAACCATCTCCATGGCCAATGTGACTACCCTGTCAGCAGCGAGGGCAGCCCAGCCTCTGAGTCCCATGGGGCCCCGGCTCCCACTGGTGCCAAACCCAGCCCCTGGGGCCATCACCCGCCAGCCTACACTGCCAGCCGACACCGGGCTGCACAGGCCTCTGCTTGCCAGCCAGGAATGCAGGCACCACGTTCCCAGCTCAGTGCCAAAGAAGGGTCGCTTGGGGGAGCTGTCTGCAGAGCCAGCGCCTACCCGAGGGAGACCCCACTGCCACCGTGTGCCTTTCCCAGGCCCTCAGCCCTTGGGCTGGGCGCCACCCCCAGTCCCTCAGTAAAAGCCTCCACTGGCAAATGTAGTCCTTCCTCTGTGCCTTGTGCCTCGGATTCTCGTGGTGTCTGCTGCGGGTCTTGGAGAGCGATGGAGAGGAGGGAGTGGGTTGCCTGTCGAGGAAAGAGTGAGTTGGGGAAAGGAATGGGCTGGACCCCCAAACCCCTCCGCCAGAGAAAGTTACCGGAAGACACGGTCCAGCCCTCCTCGGAGCTTCACGCGGAGACTCAGGGTTCCCGTGACGATGGAGGTGGAACCTGCAACAAACTCGCACAGAAATACTGGCTGAGCCCAAACAGGACTCGTGGTGGGGACATGTTGCTCCCTGTGGGAGGAGCACGATGGCAGGAGAAGGGATGTCTAAGCTGCCACACGGGGTGCTGTGGCTCTTCTATCTAGGGACAGGGGGCCGCTTGTGCAGGGACCTGAGGGGAATCAGTGGCATAGCCCAGGGTATTCATACTACATGCAGGGGAAGGGCGGGCTGCGGCCCGCGGGCCTTACAGACCACACTGCAGAGCCAGGACTTAGCCCAGAGGCCACCAAGGAGTTCTCAGCAACAGGGAAGCAGTGTGGAGCTCTGCAGGCATGTGGCTGCGTGTGAGGGCGGCCGGGGGGAATGGGGTGCCGCAGCCCACCTGGCCTCAGAAGCACGAGAAATGAGAACATCCGTGCGGCCAGACCTTTATGCACGGTTGGCCATAGCCTCCCAAAGGTGGGGCAGCCCAACTGCCCATCAGCAGAGAAATGGACGAACAGCCTTCCCGCACAGTGCGGTGCCATTCAGCTGTAACATGACACAGATGGGCCTCAAAGAAGCCAGACAAAAACTCATAGGGAAAGAGAGCAGACTAGTGAGTGCCAGGGGCTGGGGTGGGGGAAGGAAAATGCTGGGGGTGGGGGATTCCTTTTAAAAAAGAATTGTAGCACAGTGTGTTCTCTATGAGTTACCCCAAAGGCAACGGTTCACTTTCTGCCCAAAATGGCTGGCAAACAGGCTGTTTCAGCATCAGGCAAGTGGCTGGACGGTATTCAAAAATGGTATTACAATGCTGCAGGATTCAATAAACTGGGGTTAATGCAAGATGATACAATGTACGAGGACGAAGAGGTAAAACAACCCATAAGAAGGCTTCCAGAGAACCTTGATAATGACAGGATGTTTCAAATTAAGAGGGCACTGGACCCATCCATGAGGCTTCAGAGCTTGCCTAAAGAGCAGTGGACCAAATATGAAGAGGAAAATTTCTGCCTTGAACCATATCTCAAAGAGGTTATTCGGGAAAGAAAAGAGAAGAATGGGAAAAGAAGTAATCATGTAGTTGAAGTCTGTGGATGCAGCTGTTATGAAGATGATTAAACTTGAAACAAACAATTTTAAGAATTATTTGGTCTGCAGATGTTTTACTTTAAATAAATGTCTATTGTAAAAAAATTAAAATTTTAAAATTGTGTTTATTTTTTATTGAGACAGAGTCTCACCCTGTGACCCAGGTGGGAGTGCAATGGCGCAGTCATTGTGAATATCACTGCAGCCTTGATCTCCTGGGCTCAAGCAGTCCTTCTGCCCCAGCCTCCTGAGTAGCTGGAACTACAGGCATGTGCCGCCATACTCTACTAATTTTGCGATTTTTTTTCTGTAGACAGGATCTCACTGTGTTCCCCAGGCTGGTCTCAAACTGCTGAGCTCAAGCAATGCTCCTGCCTCAGCCTCCCACAGTGCTGGGATTACAGGCATGAGCCACTACATGAAACCCAGCCTCTGGGTTTCTTTTTAGTGTGAAGAAAATTTTCTGGAACTATACAGCGTACTAAATGCCACTGAATTGTGCACTTTAAAGGGATTGATTGTGTATTTTTTGAATATCACCTCAAAAACAGGTAGATAGATGATAGATGTTTGATGGATAAATTGATACATAGATATGTAGATGTATAGCTGTATAGACACGATTGGTAGATAATTGGTAGATGATGGATGATAGATTGATAGGGGATAAGTGATAGATAAAAGATAATGCATGATAGATACATGGATAGATGATAGATGGATAGAGAGAGATGATGGATTATTTTAAATATTTTTTTAGAGATGAGATCTCACTATGTTGCCCAATCTGGACTCCATCTGCTGGCGTCGAGCAGTCCTCCTGCCTCAGCCTCCTGAGTTGCTGAGACTACAGGCACATGCAACAGGGCCTGGTGATAGATAAATGATTGAAAGATACATGGTAGAGGGATAAATGACAGAAAGATAGATGGAGAGACAGATGATAACAGGTAGATACGAAGCTACATGAATAGATCAATGATTTATTACGTAGATAGATAACATAGATTGATAGATTGTTTATTATAGATTGATAGGTGGATAGTTGATTGATGATTGATCAATTGATGATTGGTTGATTGATGGAGAGAGAGAGAGAAGGAAGCATAGCCATTGCCGCAGCCCAGACAAAACATGCTGAGGGCCGACGTTCCAGAAGGTTCGAGTAGTTGGAAGAACTCGACAGGCATGGGAGCAGCCTGTTTAGGGAGTGGAGCGGGCAGCAAGGTACCACTGGGTTCTGGCTTGGAAAGTTAGGTGGGTGACAGCACCCTTGGCAGACAGAGGCGGCTCCAAAGGAGGGGCAGGCCTGGGGAGCAGGTGTAGCCAAGGGGATGGTACGTAGACAGCTGGTTCAGAGCTTGGGGCTCCTCAGTGGGACGTGGGCCAGTGTAGAGGCCAGTGGTCCTTGAAGTTTTGATGGAGACAGCCTGGCTGAGGGGAGGGTCATGCTTGGCATCTCATTTAGGGGACGGGAGGTAGACTCGACAGTGTCAGCATTTTGAGGTTACAATTTATTCCTGATCCCAGGAGGCAGCCGATTCAGAGAGCTGGGATTTGTTCCTCCGTTTCTTCTGATGATTGTGCAAGTTGTCTGTGCTTGATCGTAAACCCCTTTTACTTGTTTATTTTTGACGCCTAGCTGGAATGGCTCTAATTGCTACAGACAGAAGGTGATGACGTACTTGGCAAAAACCACTCAAAAGGAAGCTAGTGGTGAAGAGCTTATATTGCACAAAGCAGGCTCCAGGGCAAAATCATTATTAGGATTAAAAGAGGTTGCAGCATACTGATAAGTATTCATTCTGAAGCATTCACCAGCAGGGAAAAGCGAGGCAGGCGGTGGGGGGGGGGGAGAATAATTACATAAATAAGTAAATTTTTTAAAAAGAAGTATTAGCAGCCAGGCGTGGTGGCTCACGCCTGTAATCCTAGCACTTTGGGAGGCCGAGGCAGGCAGATCACCTGAGGTCAGGAGTTCGAGACCATCCTAACCAACATGGGGAAACCCAGTCTCTACTACAATACAAAATTAGCTGGGCGTGGTGGAGTGCGCCTGCAGTCCCAGCTACTCAGCAGGCTGAGGCCGGAGAATCACTTGAACCTGGGAAGTGAAGGTTGCAGTGAGCTGAGATCATGCCACTGCACTCCAGCCTGGGTGACAAGAGCAAAACTCCATCTCAAAAATAAAAAGAAAGAAAGAAAGAGCCATTCTGACCTTGTGTGCACCTGCACAATGACCACAGAACAAAAACATGGCAAGAAAAGGAAAATCCATCAATGAGCACATTCTCCACACAGGGAATTATACCACCTCTCACTGGAACTGCTGGTTCAAGCAGACTCAATTAATAAGAATATAGAAAAATTGGGCCAGACATAGTGGCTCACACCTGTAATCCCAACAGTTTGGTAGGGCAGGCAGATTACTTAAGATCAGGAGTTGGAGACCAGCTTGACCAACACGGGAAACTAAAATAAAAAATACAAAAATGAGCCAGGTGTGGTGTCTCATGCCTGTAATCCCAGCTACTCAGGTGGCTAAGGCTGGAGGACCACTTGAACTTGAGGTTTCAGTGAGCCGAGACTGTGCCCCTGCATGCCAGCCTGGAAAACAGAGCGAGACTCTGTCTCCAAAAAAAGAAGAAGAAGAAGCATATAGAAAAGTTGAACAAGCTTGATTTACTGGACACCCAAAAACTACAGACCAAATATTGTTTTCAAGTTCACGTCAGACATTTACTAACACTTGTCATGTCCTAGGCTGCAAAACAAGACTCAACAAATAGCTAAAGGACTATCAGACCAGCTAAAGGATTATCGTACCAGCATGTTCTCGATGTAATAGAAAAAAGGCAGAAATTGGCAACTAAACTAAAATTAGGGGCTCCCCCATTTTTGGAATTTTTTTTTTTTTTTTTTTTGAGACGGAGTTTCGCTCTTGTTACCCAGGCTGGGGTGCCATGGTGCGATCTCGGCTCACTGCAACCTCCGCCTCCTGGGTTCAGGCAATTCTCCTGCCTCAGCCTCCGGAGTAGCTGGGATTACAGGCATGCGCCACCATGCCCAGCTAATTTTTTGCACCTTTAGTAGAGACGGGGTTTCACCATGTTGACCAGAATGGTCTCGATCTCTTGACCTCGTGATCCACCCGCCTCGGCCTCCCAAAGTGCTGGGATTACAGGCTTGAGCCACCGCGCCCGGCCTTGGAAATTTAAATTTAAAGATACACTACTGGCCAGGCACCATGGCTCACAGCTATCATCCTAGCACTTTGGGGAGCCAAGGTGGGAGGATCCCTTGAGCCCAGGAGTTCAAGACCAGCCTGGGCAACATAGTGAGACCTTAATCTCTATAACAATAAATTAAATTATTTTTGCTTCTTCTCCGACAAAACACCAAATGGCAGATGACGCCGGTGCAGTGTTGCAGCGGGGGTGCTGGGGGCCCTGGGATGGTGACCCGCTGCCACATGATCAAGGTCATGAAGATCAAGACCCTGGAGGAGAGCTATCTCTTTGCTCTGCCCATCAAGGAATCTGAGATCATTAACTTTTTCCTGGGGACCTTTCTCAGGGATGAGGTTTTGAAGCTTTTGCCGGTGCAGAACCCGTGCTGGCCAGCGCACCAGGTTCAAGGTGTTTGTTGCTACTAGGTACTAAAATGGTCATGTTGGTCTGGGTGTTGAGTGCTCCAAGGAGGCGGCCGCTGCCAGCTGCGGGGCCATCATCCTGGCCAAGCTCTCCATTGTCCCCGTGCGCAGAGGCTACTGGAGGAACAAGATGGGCAAGCCCCACACCGTCCCTTGCAAGGTGACGGGCCGCTGTTGCTCTGTGCTGGTGCGCCTCATCCATGTGCTCTGGGCACTGGCATCATCTCAGCACCTGTGCCCAAGAAGCTGCTCATGATGGCTGGTATCAGTGACTGCCACACCTCAGCCAGGGGCTGCACTGCCACCCTGAGCAACTTCGCTAAAGCACCTTTGATGCCGTCTCTAAGACTTACAGCTACCTAACCCCCGACCTCTGGCAGGAGACTGTATTCGGCAAGTCTCCCTATCAGGAATTCACTGACCACCTCAAGACCCACACCAGAGTCTCCATGCAGAGGACCTAGGCTCCAGCTGTGGCTACAACAAAGGGTTTTTATACAAGAAAAATAAAGTGAATTAACCCTGAAAAAAAATTAAATAATTTTTTTAATTTAAAAAATAAAAAATAGGCCAGGCACAGTGGCTCACGCCTGTAATCCCAGCACTTTGGCAGGCCAAGGCGGGCAGATCACCTAAGGTTGGGAGCTCAAGACCAGCCTGACCAACATGGACAAACCCCGTCTCTACTAAAAATACGAAATTAGCTGGGTGTGGTGGCGCATGCCTGTAATCCCAGCTACTTGGGACACTGAGACAGAAGAATTGCTTGAACCTGGGAGGGGGAGGTTGTGGTGAGCCACGATGGCGCCACTGTACTCCAGCCTGGGCAATAAGAGCGAAAGTCCATCTCAAAAAAAAAAAATGTAAAAAAATACAAATAAACAGGCCAGGCGTGGTGGCTCACGCCTGTAATCCAAGCACTTTGGAGGCCAAGGCAGGTGGATCACCTGAGGTTGGGGGTTCAAGACCAGCCTGACCAACATGGTAAAACCCCGTCTTAAAAAAATAAAATAAAATACAAATACAAATAAACAATATAATGAAGGACAAAGGGATCTCCCTCCAGGTACCACTGTGAGCTGAAACATCAGGGGCACCCGGGAGCAAAACACATGGGTGAGAACAACTACAGCCCTTGCTTTTCCCAGCGCCGCTAAAAGGACTGCAAAGAGATTGCAGATGTCAAAGGGAAGAGTTCACAGCACAGTGAGAGCAGCAGCGCCTGCCAGGAACACAAGTGGGAGAGTGATCACTGATTTAAGAGATCAGAGCGAACTTTGAAACAAATAGTGGGAGGCACCAGGAGCCTGTGCCCACAGAGGAAAGGCCACGTGAGGCCATCGCCCAGAAGAGAGGCCTTGGAAGAAACCAGCCCTGCTGGCACCGTGACCCTGGGCTTCCAGCCTGTAGGACTGTCGACCATTACAGTGTTGGACTGATAC